TTATTCGATTATCATACGAAAATTGTCTTTTTAAAGAATATTTAGTTATCAACTATTCAATTACCATACTATTTCCATATGAGACTAAGTAATTACTTTTTTGTATTAAAGAATATCAAGTTACCAAATATTCGAATGGTACAAAAAATCAGGTTACTTTTTTAAAGTTGTTATCCACTCATCCTTCTGTGACTACCCGTTATCCACTATTCAATTATTATACAAAATCACATAATTGTGGATCTATTCTATTTTTTACACTAAACACGTAACGTCTATTTTTTTGACTTTTTCATTACCATGTTATGTAATGTGGTTGTATTCACTTTTCCATTACCATACGATTGTAATTGTTGTTTTAATTTTTGTATTCACTATTCCATTAATACACAATAAACGTGATTGTATTCAACATTCTATTACTATACAATAACACGTAATTGTCGTTGTATTTACTATTCAATTACTATACAATATAACTCAATTGTGGTTGTATTCACCCTTCCAATACTAAACAATACCACATAATTGTATTCACTATTCCATTAATATACAATTTAACGTAATTGTCGTTGTAATTTTTGTATTCACTATTCCATTACTATACAAAATAAACGTGGTTATATTTCTTTTTTCATCACTACGCAATACCATGTAATTGTGGTTGTAATCACTATTCAATTACTGTACAATATCACGTAATTGTGGTTTTTTTGTATATACAATGCCATAAACAACCTAATTTAATTGTGGTAGTATTCACTTTGCCATTACCTCGCGATACCATGTATTTGTGGTTCTATTCATTATTTTATTACTATTCTATACAATGTAATTGTCGCTGTATTCACTATTACATTACTTGTAAATGTGGTTGCATTCACTTTTCCATTACTATACAATACTATGTAATTGTTTTCATTTTTTAAACAATATCATTTCAATGTGGTAGTATTCACTTTACCATTACCTCACAATACCATGTACATGTATTTGTGATTGTATTCATTATTCCATTACTATACACAGTAAAGTAATATTTGGTTGTGTTCTCTATCCCATTACTATACAATATCACGTAATTGTGGTTGTATTCACTTTTTCATTAATATACACTGTAATGTAATGGTGGTTGTATTCATTATTCCATTACAATATTACGTAGGTGTGTTTATCATGTAAAACCAGTTATTCACTGTTCAATTATCATATGAAATAAGGTAATTACTTGTTATTATTCATCCAGTTATCCAATACTCGATTAATTTACTGTTTTAGGGATTTTTGTCTTTCCTTCATTTTCATGTATTTGTTTACTCTTTTTGAAAAAAACGAATTGGATTTTTTTATGATAACTTATCAAAGTCCTATGACTAATCAGATTATAAATGCACTGCTGATAAAATTAATGACATGACACAAAATGCAATAAACATACCGCACGAACAAAACCGA